AACAAAGCGTGTTCTCCTTCAGGGAGAGCACGTGTTGCGGTGGGTCTACTGAGCCACCCCTTTGTTGCTGGGTAAGTTCTCCAAGATGGCCAGGGGGCAGTGATTGGATTGCTGAGTTGCTGGGGCAAAAGTTGTGTTGCAATTTTGGTGGGAGGGGTAAAGGGTTTAAATACTCTGCACGCAGCCTTGTACTTTCTCTTTTGCTGCGTGCAACGGATCAGACACAGCGGAAGAGACTGGTTGTATTCAGCATTTATCCCTTCCCTATAACCCTCCTTTAATTGCCTATCCCTGCCTTTTAATTTTACTTTAATTTAATTTTCTTATTAGTTTAACCCCATTGGACCCCTCTTTTAATTTAGCGGCTTCTGCCGCCTCTCGGCGGGGCCGGGGTCCCCGGGCGGGGGGGGGATTTGTGTTGGCCTTCCCTGGTGAGCTTTGGATAGGCCGGGCCGTTGGCCCCATACAGCAATTTTGGGGCTTCCCCGCAGTTTGTCCGGGGCTCTGCCAGCCCCGTGCCCTCTCCTCTTAATTTTGGCTGCTCCGGCCGTCTTTTTTAGGAAGCCTATGGTCTGATCCTCAGCCAAGGCTCCTTTTAGCTTGCTTTAACTGCAACGCGTCTGGAGCGGTTTGGGAGCCCTCAGAGCCGCCGATCAGCTGTTCGGCGGCTGCAGCAGCGTTTCTGGGGTTGCCTGGGTGCGGGGACCTTGCTGCCACCTTCGGGGGTCTTGGCGTGAGTCCCGCAATCCCCCCTTACCCCTGGGCGACTCACCTTTTCGCTCTCCGCGGGGGCGCTGGGTTGCCGGCAGAGTTTCCTGGGCGCCGTTTTGTCTGGCCTCCTGGGGGCCTTGCCTTGCCGAAGGGGCCTTTTCTCCAGCAGGCCGGGACGGTTGCGGCCTTTTGGCTGGTGCCCGGGCTGGGGTGGTGCTGTCCCAGCTATTTCGGGGCGCTGCGCTCAGCCCGTTTTGGCGGGAGCGCCATTTTGCTGCAACATCGCCCCACAGTGGCCTCCAGTGGCTGATCTGGGTAACTGCAGCTAGTTTTAATGTGCATTTCTTTTTGTTGCCTCTGCTGCCACCTTCTGGTGGCTGGTGTTACTGCACCCCTTTTGTAAAATAAATAAAATCTGATTTAATTTTATTTAATAATTTAGTTACTTTAGTAGCTCTTGTATTGAGTTAATTTAATTGTTATTGGTTCTGGGGTTTTCTGACTGTCGTGAGGGCGTACGTTTGGCTGACGCGCTTCTTGCATCTTGGGGCTATTTAATTTATTGAAAATTTGTTTTATTTTAATTATATTCAATTTTAGTTTTCTTTGGTTTTCCTTTTCTTTCTCAAGCAGGTATGGCCCCGAAAAAGGCTGCAAAAAGGCCCGCTGCTACCCGGACTTCAAAGCGGCCAATAAAAGGCCCTTCTCAGGCGTTGCGATCTGGCGCACCCAGACAGGCAGAGGACAGCCTGGGATCCCTAGTCACCAGGATGGCTGGTGATCCAGCAGCTTTAACACGTCTCGCGGCTGAGGTGGACGGCCTCATTCGGCGATGTTCAATGCAGTCTTCTGCCCCAGGGGGGCCAGCTTCCACGGTTGGCCCATCTTCGCCTGCATCTTCATCTTCTAGCGAAGATGGGGGAGAGGCAGTAGTTGCTGGGGTTTCAGTGCGGGCTTCTCAGCCATCACAGCCCCCGGTCTTACCTGTTGCGCAGGTTGGCTCACGGGGGCCGAGACGTACCACACGCCGTTCGGCTGGGAGGCAGGCCCTTATGGCATCTCCCTCCTGGGTAGTTTCGCCTACTCAGTCTACTGCGGATGCATTGTCGGGGCCTAGTCATTCACGTAGGGTCTCTTCTCAGTCTGTTCCAGGTACTTCACAGCAGACAGTAGACTTGGAGTCCTCGGATGAGGATAGTCTCCCTACTCCTGCGAGAACATCATCTGGGGGGCATCGTTGCCGCAGGAAGAGGGCTAAGAAGCGGGCCAAGAGGAGGAAGGTTGACACTTCATCTTCTTCTTCTTCTGGTACGTCTTCGAGTTCTGATGACGAGACAGAGGCATCTTTAGACCTTTACTGGGGTTTTGGTGAAGAGGCCGGGGGGTTTCCCAAATGGATTTGGGAACGGAGGGCCAATTCGCACCGAGCAAGGTACGGTGCGGTCCAGGATTGCCGTGATGGCGTGCTGGTGCCTGAGGTGAAAGTCTCCACAAATTCTGTGAGGGACATCATACCTGGGGCTCATTTGTCAACTAAGTTGCGGGCTAGAATTTTAAACGGCCGCTACGTGGATATATTTAAATTAGCACCCCCGCCTGCAAGTCCTGATTCTCAGGAGAAGGATGATTCTTCCAAAAAACGTGCTGGGTCTAAGAAACTGGAGAAGACGTTTGAGCGCTGGCTCGATGGCTTCCAGGTTTTTGCTGGAATTGTAGTAATGGCTTATCCACGCAGAGCCCATCACTTGATGGTCTATTTGTCCATCGTGCGCTCTGCTTTCACTATGGCAGGCCAATTGGCTGCGATAGCGTATGATGTAAATTTTAGACGCAGGGCAGCTAAGATTTCTTCGGCTCGCTGGGATCGTAAGGATTTGGACGTGTGGACCACCTACGTGGTTCCACACATTGAAAAGAAAGCCCTGGAACAGCAGAAGCCGAAGGCGGGTCCATTCAGACCCACACGCAAACTTACTTGCTGGGATTTTAACAAGGGTTCCTGTCAGCGCCAGTTCTGTAAATTTTCCCATGTGTGTGACAAGTGTACCGGGGGTCATCCTGCTTCCACTTGTTTGGGCAGTCGGCGGCCCTTTCGTGGAGGAAAAGGGGGCTCCCAGCAGCCCCCAAAGGCTGCCACTCCCGCCTCCACCTCTGGAACAGGGAAGTAGTGCTTTGACGGTCCTGGCTTATACTCCAGTGCGTTTGTCGGCACTAATTCCTTGGTTGCAGGCTTACCCTAAAAAGGAGGCTGCAACTTACTTGCGTGAAGGTTTTTCTTTAGGTTTTCGGATTCCCGTAGCCACGGCTCCCGAGGCACGGAATCCCCTTAATCAAAAGTCGGTTCGTGAAATGCCAGAGGTGGCGCGCAAGAAGATTGAGAAAGAGGTGGCTTTACATCGTATGGCTGGCCCTTTCTTAGATCCCCCTTTCCCTAACTTACACATATCTCCACTGGGTATTGTTCCCAAGAAAGCTCCGGGGGAATTTCGCCTGATTCATAACTTATCTCATCCTCGTGGCACATCAGTAAATGATGTTATTCCTCCGGAGCTTTGTTCAGTGAAGTATGCTTCTCTTGATCAGGCGATCAAGATGATCAGGAAATTTGGCCCAGGTGCCTTGCTAGCTAAATGCGATATAGAATCTGCATTTCGCTTGCTACCAATTCATCCAGAGGATTATTGGTTGCTAGGTTTTCAGTTTGAGGGAAAATTTTATGTTGACAAGGCTATGCCTATGGGATGCTCAATAGCATGTTCTGCTTTTGAGTGTTTTAGCACCTTTTTGGAATGGGCTTTGCGTGTTAAAACCGGCCTGGTAGGTGTGTCGCATTATCTCGATGATTTTTTATTGGCCTCTGCACATGACACCGGCGATTGCGTGGTATTGCTGAGAGCCTTTGCTTCCCTTATGGAAGAATTTGGGGTACCGTTGGCAGCTGATAAGACTGAGGGCCCATCTACCCAACTGACCTACTTGGGTATCCAATTGGATACTGTGTCGCAAACCTCAAGCCTTCCACTTGATAAAATACTTACCCTCCGGAATGTCATACAGGAGCTACTTCCTTTGAGGAAGATTACTTTGCGACAACTGCAATCCTTGCTGGGTCACTTGAACTTCGCATGTAGGGTGGTGGCCCCTGGCCGCCCATTTTGTTCACGCTTGGCTAGGCTTACAGCAGGTTTAAAGGCCCCGCATCACAGGGTGCGTATGTCCGCGCAGGTTCGCGAGGACCTCCGGATTTGGTTAGAATTCTTGGAAGAATTTAATGGCGTGTCCTTGTGGCAGGACGTTTTGAACCTCCACAATGATTTTCAAGTGCACTCTGATGCTGCGGGTTCACTGGGTTTTGGTATCTACTGGAAAGGTAGATGGTGCGCTAGGCGCTGGCCATCTGCTTGGCAGGGGGAAGCGATCACGCGGGACCTAACGTTTCTTGAGTTTTTTCCCATTGCAGTAGCTGTGCATTTATGGGTCGACGAGTTCAGGGACCACCGAGTTTGTTTTTGGTCCGACAATCAGGCTGTTGTGAACGTGCTGGCAAAACAGTCATCTCGCTCCCCCAGGGTATCGGCCCTGTTGCGGGCATTTGTTTTGCATTGTTTGAAATTTAATATTGTATTTTCTGCACGTTTCATCCCTGGGGTATCTAACGAGATTGCTGATGCTCTATCCCGTTTTCAGATGGAGCGATTCAGGTCCCTGGCTCCAGAGTCTCGGGCGCATCCGGAGTATTTCCCGGAGCATCTCTGGAACCTTGGCAGCAATTAGTATTGCAGGGAGTAGCCGCCTCCATTTCTTCATCCACTTTGGGGTCTTATAAAAAAGCATGGACTGACTTCTTAAATTTTACCCAGTCAGTCGCAGGCAGCATATCTTCCCCTCCCTCCACTTCTCAAGTGTTACAGTATCTGGCACATATGTTTCAGCTGGGCCGAGCTGCTAGGACACTGCGGATTCATTCCGCAGCAATTTCCTTTTTTAGTAAATCATTTTTCAACAAGGATCCTTGTGCCAAGTTTGTAGTGCGCAAGGCCTTGGAAGGTTGGGGTCGTCTTGCTCCCCCTAGCAAAGCAGTTCGGCAGCCTATCACTTTTGAGTTGCTGAGCAGAATGCGTGCCAAATTAAGGGTTGTTTGTTGGTCTAAGTATGAGGCCCGCCTTTTTTCGGCGGCCTTTTCAATTGCATTCTTTGCCGCATTACGGGTGGGGGAGGTGGTCATGGAGGCTAGGCAAGATGGCGGTTCCAGGGGGCTGCTGCTTCAGGATGTATGTTTATCCCCTGTGGAAGTGAGAATCGTGGTGCGTAATTCGAAAACGGACCAATTGGGTCGGGGGGCAGTTATGAGGCTCCCCGTAACTGGGGAGCCTGGTCCTTGCCCGGTTAAGGATTTGAGGAAATTCTTAGCAGTGAGGCCCTCAGGGGAGGGTCCACTGTTCATTCACGAAAATGGTCGTCCCTTGGCACGGCATCAGTTTTCCAAGGTAATGCGTAAGGTTATTTCTGCTTGTGGGGTCCCGGCTTATGGTTTTGCACCCCATTCCTTTCGCATTGGTGCTGCTACAACAGCAGCCCATTGGGGGTTGTCGGCCCACAGGATTAAGGACTTGGGCCGGTGGAAATCTGATGCGTTCAAGGGTTACGTGCGGAAGAGATGTTGAATTATTGTAGTTGATGTGTGCTTGTTCTCCACCCTGTAGGTCTCGCTCCAGTCCGTATCTGGATTGTGGGGCACAGCATCGTGTACTGGGCTGGCATCAGAGCGAGGCAGTCTGGAAGGGGACCGGATCTTGGCTTCCCACAGCACGTACAGGTGTCGTGGATATCCAGACGTGGAATGCGGTGGAGTGAATTCATCCCACTAATTAAGCAGAGGGTGCTTTCACATGGCCCCCCTTTGGCAATTGTGGTGCAGTTGGGGGAGAATGATATGGCAAAGGTTGATTGCTTCACTTTGCGATCCGTGATTCTAAAAGACTTGGGGGAATTGGTGACCTTAATACCCAACGTTAAAATATTTTGGTCACAATTGCTGCAAAGGATCAATTGGCAGGGCATTTCTCAACCCAAGGCTGCTGAAAGGGCCAGGAAGCGCATTAATTCCGCAGTGAGCAGGAGGGTAACGGAATTGGGTGGGTTGGTGATTTACCACCCGGATATTACCTTCAAGGCTCTGGCCCTTTACCGCAATGATGGGGTACATCTTTCCGAGCTGGGGAATGATGTCTGGTTGGATGCGGTAATTGGAGGGTTGAAGAATGGGTTGGGATTGTGAGTGGTTGGCGGTGAGCATAAGGGCTCAATTGGCGGTTAGGCATTGGTTATAAATCTGGTGGAGGAGGGGTTAGGATAGGCTGGGCCTGCCCCTCCATGGTTGCTGCGGAAAGGGAATTCCGTTAAAGGAATCCTGGGGCTTGCCATCTTTTCGTCCAATCCCTGGAATGGGACTAGGGCCGGCAAGCCTTCGGGAGCATGCGGGTGAGAATTGAGGGTCTGTGTCCCAGCTCCATTTCTCCCGACTTGCTTTCCCCGCACTGTCTTTCGGTGGTGCCCGGAGTCAGTTCTGTCCCCAGGCGGGGGACAGATAGTCTTAACCAATGCCTAAACAACCACTCACGTTTGTATTTTAATAAAGTTGTGGCCAAAATCATGCCAAAAATCTTAAACAAAAATTACGTCTCCGTTGTGAGTTATTTTGGGGGTGGATCGGGGACCTCGACACGCAAAGCGTGTTCTCCTTCAGGGAGAGCACGTGTTGCGGTGGGGTCTACTGAGCCACCCCCTTTGTTGCTGGGTAAGTTCTCCAAGATGGCCAGGGGGCAGTGATTGGATTGCTGAGTTGCTGGGGCAAAAGTTGTGTTGCAATTTTGGTGGGAGGGGTAAAGGGTTTAAATACTCTGCACGCAGCCTTGTACTTTCTCTTTTGCTGCGTGCAACGGATCACCCGCCCACCCGCCCTAGAGTAAGGGGTTCTTGCATTGACCTTGCTATGCCTGTCATGGGGTCGTCTGCCTTTGAGCAGGGGCCTGGTAGGAATTTTTCCACCTGGCAAATTGGCCGGCTGGGTGGTTTTTGCCTACTGCGTAGCAAATCGTCACAACTTGTAAGGTTGTGGTTAGGCATTGGTTATAAATCTGGTGGAGGAGGGGTTAGGATAGGCTGGGCCTGCCCCTCCATGGTTGCTGCGGAAAGGGAATTCCGTTAAAGGAATCCTGGGGCTTGCCATCTTTTCGTCCAATCCCTGGAATGGGACTAGGGCCGGCAAGCCTTCGGGGAGCAGGCGGGTGAGAATTGAGGGTCTGTGTCCCAGCTCCATTTCTCCCCGACTTGCTTTCCCCCGCACTGTCTTTCGGTGGTGCCCGGAAGTCAGTTCTGTCCCCAGGCGGGGGGACAGATAGTCTTAACCAATGCCTAAACAACCACTCACGTTTGTATTTTAATAAAGTTGTGGCCAAAATCATGCCAAAATCTTAAACAAAAATTACGTCTCCGTTGTGAGTTATTTTGGGGGTGGATCGGGACCTCGACACGC